CCCAAATCCGGCCTTGTAGCCATCCAAAGAACTAAGATCTCCTCCCTCGAAAGCTTCCCAAGATCTTGCATATTAAACACGGCATAGCCAAGAATCCGATGAAGAATTCTAAGAGCTGGGTGAATGATCTCACTAGCAAGTGAATGTTTAGAGTCAAACATCTTCTTTTGAGCAATTTGTCTCTACCATGCAACCTCATTGTAATCGAACTTGAGAAGGGAAACCAATGGCTCATAGATGTCGGCATTGGGATTGAAGCCAAGGGATTTTGAATTCGGCAAGGTTCATGGTATGCTTGGAATTGAATAGTTGGAAAGAGATGGCATAGTAGTTATCCCCCGCCCTATTATACTCAAAGGTGGAGGAAAACTCAACGCAAGGCTCCAAATAGGTTCTCGGAGAAGACTTTACAAACTCATCCAAACAAAGATTACGGAGTAGGATGTCAAGATCGGCATCAACTCCTAATGTGACCATATCATCGGGAAGATAGTTGCGGGTAGGTCTAAATTTCCTGGATTTCATTTTGTTATAGATTGGGACATGTTTAGACCGATTGTGAAATTTGAGAGGAGGTAAAGGAGGAAGTGGGGTATCATCTTGAGTAGTTTGGTTGTGAGGAGGTTCGGTGTTTGAAGGTTGGCCATGAGAGGATTGGCCTTGGGAGGATTGGCCGGGGGATTGGTTAGAACGTTTCTTGCTACTCTTAACCTTCCTTAACAATTCCATAGTCACAAGTTCAACCAACACAAGAAACTACAATATCACCCAAAATCAACACCAACACCACCACCAATTTTTCAAACCACCGTCACAATACCACCTAAAACCACCACAAACTACAAAGTACCTGTTACAAGCAACAAAACAACCAAAAATCCAAAAAACAACCAACAACATTAACAATCCATCTCAAAAACAAGCATAAATCACTCAAAACAATTCCAAAACCACCATACAAACAACCACAAACATCATAATCATGCTTAATCAAGGCAAACCAAAACCAATGTATAATAATCAATTGAAATTGACAAAAATAAAACAAAGGTTAGAAATATACCAAGATTGAAGACTCAAACAAAGCTCAAAATTGCTTCAAGGACTCGAATTTCTCGATAAACCACGAGAAAAGAGACTAATCTTGATGAAAATGGAGTATGATGGAAATTGTGATGGAAAGTTGAGTGAAAACAAGGAAGAATTGTATGAATTAGAGTGAGAATGATGAATTTGGGGTTAGGGTTTGAGAGGAGGAAGAGAGAGAAAGGGGAAAAATAAGGGGGAAATGAAAAATAAGAGAGGAGGGAGAGAGAGAGGAGCAAACCGGCCCTCATGTAACCCAGCAAGCCGCGCCCTCTCCGGACATCCCCGCGCCCGTGGAGAGACCACGGGGCAATCGCAGGCCCAAACTGAAAAATAAATCGAATTTTTTCTTTAACAGGGGGTCGCGCCCTCTCCAAAGTTGTCGCGCCCGCGGGGCAACCGCGGAGAGTTCCTGATCCTTTTTTGACAAAATATGTTGCGCCCTCTCCAATTCTCCCCGCGGCCTCTCTAAGACACCCGCGCCCGCGGGGAAACCGCAGAGAGACCTCGGGAAGTTCCTGATCGGTTTTTCCCTCTTTTAATGCTAGGCCACCCGAGGCCTCTCCAAGCCAGCGGGGTGCCCTCTCCCCTACACTCCAAATTCTCCTTTAGCGATCCTTATCAAACACATTAAGTCCATAGTTGATGAATGAAGGCAACCTACAAAACAAACCAAAAACACAAGGAAAGGTAAGAGCAAAAATCAACAAAGAAAAATAAAAGAAAGGAAAGAAAAGAGAATAGAGGTGAGAATCCGGGTTGCCTCCCGTAAGCGCTTTTGTTTAACGTTGTTAGCTTGACGTTTACCACCCATTCAAGGTGGCTTAAAAAGAATCATTTTGTGAATAAGACCAACAAACACTCCATCAAAATATCTCTTGAGCCGATGACCATTAACCTTAAAAGAAGATGAGGAATACAAGGGAGAAATCTCCACGGCACCATTAGCAAAAATATCTTTCACTAAGAAAGGGCCACTCTATCTTGACATGAGCTTTCCAGGAAACAACTTCATTCTTGAATTGTAGAGGAGGATTTTATTACCAAAACAAAACTCTTTCTTCTCAATAAGCTTGTCATGAGCTTCCTTGGAATGAGCTTTGTAGGTGCTAGAAAAATTGTAAGCATCAAGTCTAAGCTCCTCTAGCTCATGAATATCCAACCACCTTTTCTCCCCCGCACTTTCTAAATCAAAGTTTATCTTCTTGATTGCCCACAAAGCACGGTGTTCAAGCTCCATCGGGAAATGGCATGATTTGCCATAGACAAGGCGATATGGAGTGGTGCCAACAGGTGTCTTGAAAGTCGTTCTATAGGCCCAAAGAGCATCATCCAACTTGTCCGACCAATCCTTTCTATTCCTTGCAACCATATTCTCAAGAATAAGCTTTATTTGAAGATTTGAGACCTCGACTTGGCCACTCGTTTGAGGATGATATGGAAGGCCAAAGCGTTGATGAACCCCATGTTTCCTCAACATCTTTTGGAAGGCATTGTGAACAAAATGAGAACCGTTGTCGCTTATCACAGCCTTAGGCACACCAAACCTTGGGAAGATGATTTTTTTTAACAACTTCAACACTACTTTGTGGTCATTTGTTGGGGAAGAAATGGCCTCAACCCACTTAGAAACATATTCCACAGCCACAAGTATGAATTGATTCCCATATGAAGATGGGAATGGTCCCATGAAGTCAATCCCCCATACATTGAACACCTCCAACTCAAGGATAGTTTGTTGAGGCATCTCATTTCGCTTGGATATATTCCCAACTCTTTGACATCGGTCACATGACTTGACGAAGACCCATGAATCCTTGAATAGATGTGGCCACCACAAACCACATTGAAGAACCTTAGTAGCGGTTTTGGAAACACCCATATGACCACCACTAGGATCCGAATGGCACATCTTTAGAACACTAGGCACCTCTTCATTTGGAACAAAATGCCTAAGCAAGCCATCAACCCCTCGTTTATACAAAATGGGACCATCCCACAAGTAATGTCTTGCCTCCCTCTTGAGCTTATTTCGTTGGTTCTTGGAGAAAGAAGGTGGAATCTCCCCACATGTTAGAAAATTTACCAAATCGGCATACCATGGGAGCTCCTTTACCTTAATGGCATACAAGACATCATCAAGCATTCTATCTTCAATTGGTAAACCATCATCATGAATTTGATCACCCTCAAGGCGAGAAAGATGGTCCGCTACAACATTTTCCGTACCCTTCTTATCCCTAATCTCTATTTCAAAAGTTTGTATTTCAAGCACCCAACGAATCAACCTTGGCTTGGACTCTTTCTTAGCAAAGAGATACTTGAGAGCCGCATGATCCGTGAAGACAATGGTCTTGGAACCCAAAAAATAACACCAGAATTTATCAAAATAGTGAACAATGGCCAAGAATTCTTTTTCCGTTGTTGTGTAATTATTTTGGGCCCCATTTAGTGTCTTGGACATATAGTAAATCACATGAAGCTTCTTGTCCACACGTTTTCCCAAAACACCTCCAATTGCCCAATAACTAGCATCACACATCAATTCAAAGGGTAGATCCCATCTTGGGGCTAGAACAATGGGGGTAGAGATTAGGGCCTCCTTCAACCTATTAAATGTCTCCAAGCACTTACCATCAAAGACAAAATCAATATCTTTTTGAAGAAGATCATTAAGGGGCTTGGCAATGAGTGAGAAATCCTTGATGAATCTTCTATAGAAGCCCGCATGTCCCAAAAATAATCTCACTCCCTTTACATTCACCGGAGGTGGAAGATTCTCAATAACCTCGATCTTGGCCTTATCCACCTCTATTCCTTTATGAGAGATTTTGTGTCCAAGCACTATTCCTTCCTCAACCATAAAGTGGCACTTCTCCCAATTCAAGACAAGATTAACCTTCACACACCTTGCCAAACATTTCTCAAGATTCACAAGGCACTCTTCAAATGAAACCCCACCTACGGAGAAATCATCCATAAACACCTCCATTTCTTCCTCCAACATGTCTCCAAAAATGCTCATCATGCACCTTTGGAAAGTTGCGGGGGCATTACAAAGGCCAAAAGGCATTCTCCTATAAGCAAAGGTCCCATAGGGGCATATGAATGTTGTCTTCTCTTGATCATCGGGGTGGATTGGGATTTGGAAAAATCCCGAATAGCCATCAAGGAAACAATAGAACTTGTGCCTTGTTAGTGTCTCTAACATTTGATCAATGAATGGAAGGGGAAAGTGATCCTTCTTGGTGGATGTATTTAGACGTCTATAGTCTATACACATCCTCCAACCGGTGACCGTCCTAGTCGGAATGAGCTCACCTCTCTCATTCTTGACTACGGTCATACCCCCCTTCTTAGGAACGACATGAACGGGAGAGACCCACTTAGAGCTTGAGATGGGGAATATGATTCTCGCATCCAAAAGCTTGGTGATTTTTTTTTCACCACCTCTCCCATTTAAGGGTGTAGCTTTCTTTGTCGTTCAATAGAAGGAAGGGTTCCTTCCTCAAGAGTTATGTGGTGTGTACACAAAGCGGGGCTTATACCCTTAAGATCATCAATAGTATAGCCCAAATCACCTTGGTGCTTTCTCAAGACACAACATAACGCTTAAGCTTGGCTTTCACTCAAGGATGCACTAACAATTACGGGGTAAGTGGAATTTGGGCCTAAGAATTCATACCTAAGGTGTGATGGTAGAGGTTTGAGCTCTACCATAGGCACAACTTTACCTTCTTTTTTTGCGGCCACTTGCAAAGCTTCATGGCTTGAGATCTTCAAGCACATTTGTTCATCCACTTCCTCCATGCTTCCATTAAGCAATTCTTCATACAATGCCATCTCCTTGCATGGCGCACCTACCTTACCTTTGTTCAACAAAAACAAGAGCATGGTTAGAGGTGAGCAAGTGTTCAGTGTTCATGCATTGAAGACACAACATGATCAAGAGATTCAATCATCATGCAATTTTCTAGAGAAGAACATGAATATTTCATGCTTTCATTCAAATCGAATTCTATGACCTCATCTCCTACCTTAAGAGAAATCTTTACACTCTTGACATCTATCATAGCACCCGAGGTAGCAAGAAAGGGTCTACCTAGAATGATAGTAATGGTAGCATCTTCATCCATTTCAAGTACAACAAAATCCACCGGGATCACAAACTTCTCAACCCTCAATGGAACATCTTCCACTTTACCTTTTGGAAACTTGATTGACCTATCGGCTAGTTGCAAGGTAATGTTGGAAGGTAAGAGTTCCCCTAGATCAAGTATTTGATAATCCGAATATGGCATTAGGCTTACACTAGCTCCTAAGTTACATAGGGCATTATCAATTTGCATCTTGTTAATAGCACAAGGCATAGAGAAGTTTCCGAGGTCTTTCAACTTGGGTGGAATTTTGTTCATGATGATCGCACTACAATTCTCAGTCAAGTTGATAGTCTCCACAAAATCACAAGTCTTTTGCCCACTCAAAATGTCTTTGAGGAATTTGGCGTAGTTGGGCATTTGGTTGATCACATCGGTGAAAGGTAGAGAAAGGTGAAGTTGTTTGAGCATATCAATAAATCTCCCAAATTGCTCATCCAATTTGTGTCTCATGAATTTTTGGGGATAAGGGAGCTTGGGTTTCACAATCTCTTTCTCCACTCTCACCTCTCTAGGTGCCTCAACCACAACCTCATCTAAAGATACTCTATCTCCCTCATTCTCAACCAAAGCTTCCTTGGGGACCTCCTTGTCTTCACTCTTCCTAGGCAATCTCTCCTCAAGAATCTTACCACTCCTTGTAACAATAGCATTCACGGGTTTCTTGGGATCTAGGCCTTGTGAGGGTAAAGAAGAAGGGCTTTCTTGGTCTTTCACAGCATTAGCAAGTTGAGAAATTTGGTTTTCGAGCATTTTATTATGGGTCATCATCTCATTGAATTTCTTGTCACTAACGGCCATGTATGTATTCAACAAATTGGTTTGATTTTCAATTATTTCCTCCACATTAGTCCTAGAAGAAGAAGGTTGTGAATAGGAATTTTCACCTTGAGTCGTTGGAACAAATCCGGGCGGGGGACCTCTTTGAGAATTATTTTGAAAATTGCCCCTACCTTGATTGTTCCAATTACCCCTATTTTGATTTTGATTATAATCTTGATTATGGTTTCCCTTACCTTGGTTATGAATTCCATAACTTTGGTTTTGATTACCATAATTTTTGTTTTGATTTTGACTACTATAACCTTGATTGTTATAGTTACAACGAGAACCTTGGTTCCCTTGGTTCCTATAACCACCACCTTGGTTATAGTTGTCAAAATTACCTTGGTTTTGGTAATTCCTATTCCATTGACCCCTTTGATTATCAAACCTTTGCACATTTTTATTTGACACATAGTTCATATGCTCACTCTTATTGTTATCAAAATCATCACCACATTCCGGAGAAGCATGAGGGCAATTACAAGAGTCATGATCATAAGATCCACATGCATCACAAAACAAGCAACCAATAGGCATATTATTTGAGGAGGGAGGGGGTCGAGAGTTAGAAAGAGTACCTCTCCCCTTAAATTGGGAAGGAAGATTTGAAGCTTGAGAAGAAGTGGAGCTTTCCAATTTGGCCTTGATTGCGGTCATTTCTTTTCCCAAGTTTGTCATTTATGAGGATAGGTTGTTGATCGCATTTAGATGGTCTATAGAGTACACCGAAGAGCCACTCTTTCTATTTAAGTCCCTCTCACCAACTTGCCAATCTCTATAGTATTTCACCACATCCTCAATAATGTCCACCACTTCTTCCTCCGTCCTATTCATAATGGAACCTCCGGCTCCCCCATCAAGGCATGATTTTCCTTGAGGACTTAGGCCACCATAGAAAATTTGAATGACTTGATAGGTTGGAATTTTTTGGTGGGGACACTCCCTTTGGTACTCTTTATATCTCTCCCATGCTTCGTAAAGGCTTTCATTAGGTCTTTGCTTGAACCCTTGAATCAAAGCTCTAGCCTCCGCTGTTTTCTTTTGTGGGTAAAACCGGGACAAGAATTCCTTGGTGACTTCGTCCCATGTTCTTAGGGAGTTTGGCTTTACCTCGTTATCCAACCACTCCAAGGCCCGGCCTATGAGAAAAAAGGGAAACAACTTTAGTCGGATGAACTCTTGAGAAACTCTGTTTACTTTGATAGTATTGCAATACTTTTCGAACTCCTTGAGATTGTTCAACGGACTCTCATTCTTAGCTCCGCTATATTGTCTCCTCTCGATCAAGGCGATCGTATCCGGCCTAATTTCGAAATCATTCGCCGGTGTTATAGGTGGAGCAATTCCACTCTCAAACTTGTACGCACCGGGAATTCCCAATTCTTTCAAAGAAGCTCTTGGTTGTTCTCCCATGCTTAGTTCTTCTTCAAATCCTTCTTCGCTTGAGGAAATAAACTCCAAGGATCGACTAGCAATTCTTCTCCTTGAGAGAGTCCTTTCGATTTCCGGGTCAAAAGGCACAATGGATCGATCACGAGCTCTATGCATGCAAAACTCAATGAAAATATTAGTAACACGGCTACAAATGTAGCCTTAAGAAACAAAATCTTTTTGTATTTTTTTCAATTAAAGTGAAGTAGACTCAACAACTAAAGCTAAGCACCAATATCACTCCCCGGCAACGGCGCCATTTTAATAGAGGAATAAACGTGTCGCCAATTGTCTATCCCTAGATCAAACACAATTTATAACAGCCTAAACAAACATAATACAAGTATAAGGCAAGTATAGGGTCGAACCCAAAGGAGTGAGTAGGTATTAACTATAGCCTAAGTCAAGCTACTTCGAAGATTGTAGTGAGAAAATGGTTGGTACTATGGTAACAAAGCTAAATTAATCAAGTAATTCAAGAAACTAAACACTAGGGATATAGGTTCCACATGCAAGTTCAATAATCATGCTAATTGATAGTTCATTCAATTGATTCAAGCATTGCAAAGGACAAACAATAGTAGCAATCAAAAGAATTCAAGAGCTATCTCCAGAGGCCAAGCTAGGGGTCACAATGAATGCTAATCAAGGAAATTCACAATCAAACTCAATCAATTAAAACAATTCTCAAATTGATTGTTCATGTCATTAAGAATTGCAATGCAATCTAGATTAATCCTATAGGTTGATCACTCCTAATCTAATTAATCACATGCAAAACTATGTCAACCAACTTAATTGCAACAATTCAATCAATCAATGATCATCAACTAGCACAAATTTTCAATCAAGCATGCTTCCCCTTCTCCCTAGAAACTAATCTACTCAATAATCATGGTGTAAATCAAGAATAAATCACTAGAAATTGCATTGATCATCATTCTAAATCAAAATCAAGAGAAAAAATTATCAACTACAATATCAAATTCAAATCTAAGGAAATCAAACAATCAAACATGAATCTAAAACAAACAAGAAAAAAGATGAACTAAAATAAGAGATTCTCACTAATATTAATGATTGAAGAAGAAATCCAAGCACAATTGAACCAATGTTGAAATACAAATCCAAATCCAAGAACTTCTCTCTAACTTCTCTCTCTAAAAGTAAGCTAATGAAAATTATCTAAAAGTTAGTTTTCAAAAAGGAATTACAAGTGTATTTGTAGGCAAAGAAGGAAAACAGGTTCCCCGCGCCCTCTCTAAGGAATCCCGCGCCCGCGGGGAAATGGGTACGGAACCCATAACAAACTCCGCGGGTTGTCTGGGCAAGACCCGCGCCCGCAGGTCTTCTAGCCCGCGCACGCGGCAAAAGCCACCGCGCCCGCGGCAAGGTCGCGGTGAATCCCTTGGTCCCAAAGAGTAATCAAAGGCCCGTGGTCTCTCTAATCTGGAGCGCTCTCTCCAGTCTACCCGCGCCCGCGGCCAGCCCGCGGAGAGTTCCTTGTCGATTTTGGCTAATTTGATGCAACACACCCCGCGCCCGCGGCAACCTGGAGAGGGATGATGCCCTCTCTAAGCCCTCTTTGAGCCCTCTCCAAGCCCTCTCTGAGCAGATTGCTTCCTCCTTGCTTAGTCAATATAGCTCATCTTGATCCCTTTGCAAAGACAACTCCTAGGTACCTACAAGAGCAAACAAAGGAAAGGAATAAAAGGGGAAAAGGGTCAAATAAAAGGAAAACACGAAGATAACACGAAAAACACAAAGAAAGAAGGAAAGAGAGGGACTAAAGGGAAAATGACCACAAATAAGATAAGAAAGCATGAAAAAGGGATGAAATCATCCTAAAAGACTACCCTATGAGTGCCATAAATGACACTTATCACTTTATACTTAAATTATCCATAGAAACATTGAATGTATAAAAGTCAAACATTAATTTATACAAGAACCCTAAAAATCAAGTCTTTACTAAATTAAAACCCTAACTTTTAGTACTTTATAAAATCTGAAAATAAAAGACTTTATAATATAAAATTTACAATCTTTAATCATCAAAACATAATTATAAAACATACTAATCATGTTTAGACAATTAAAATCAATACCCAAAATACATATAATACATAAATTAAATTAAAAACAAGGAGGAGAGAGAAGGAGATCACAGTGGGTGGTCGGGTTGGTCACGGGTCGCCGACGAGAGGGGGTCGCCCGACGAGGTGGTTGGTGACGTGGCAGCAGCCGGCATGAGGTGGCAGCAAATGTTAGACCTCACGTCCAATTCCCACGCACAACATCAAGAAAAAAAACAAAGGAAAGAATAAGAAAAAGAAAGAAAAGAAAAAAAAAGAAAAAAAAATAAAGAAAAGAAAAAACATAAAATGAAGTACTTACTTTGTGCAATCTGATTTCTTTGAGCCTCTTTTATGTGGGGGAAATTTTGGGGTTTTGAGTTATTTATAGAGTAGAGAGTATAGGGTAGGTTTGGGCTTAGAAAATAATGGGCTAGAGTTATGGAATATTTGACCCACAAGGGTTCAAATAAGGGTTGGGTTTTATAAAAGTTGTGGACTTTAATAGAATAGGTAACCCAAATGTTAAAAATAAAAAAATAAAAAACTAAAAAAAAATGATTGGGTTTATTATGTAGATGGACTATATTCGGATTGAATAATTAGTTACCCAAAAAATTAAACCTTGTATTATTTAAATCTCATAATTAAAATAATTTGACCCAAAATTATATTTTACAAATAAATAAATAATGTATCAAATACATTAAAAATATGGGGTATTACACTTACCCTACAATCTTTCTTGGGAATTGGTATCATGTGGGCGATACATTCGGGGTATTTGGATACTTATAAAACATGCGGTTATTTGCTTTTGTACTTCTTTTATCTTAAGAGCTACGTTGAGTTTTATTCGACACAACTTTTGTTTTGCATGCTTCATTCTTGGAATTAATGGTGTAGTGTGTTGTAGACACCTAATTGTGTCTCCCCAAAAACCAAACTCAGTGATGAGTGCCTTTCACGACATTTGATTATCGAACGAAGTGAAAGTATGAAAAGTCTTGTGATACAGTTGTTTTAATAAAAATAACTCTTCTTTCTGTTTTTGAACATGTAATCTATTATTGAAAATGTCCAGTCCAATTTAGTTTGGTCCATGATAAGGGTCCAATAATAGTGTAGTTGGATTGGGCTCGAAAAGATATTTCCAATGATATATTATAAGCCCAATTCCAATGAATAATGAGGAAGTTATGACCAAAATACTAAATTGGGCCTGAAATGGTTTTATGGCCCAATGATCTAGTGGATAGCCCATTAATTAATGTTCCTAAAGTTATTAGGATTGATTTTAATCTTCTACAATTATCTAGAATGGTTATTTTGAGTTCTAATGAGATTAGGATTAATAATTGTTTCTTTTATGAAAATAAAAAATTCTATTTGGATTAAAACAAGTGTTTTACAAAGATTAAATATGGTTTTTAAAGATAAGTACGGGCGTTATTAATCGAATTTAATTAG